GAAAGAGTGAGAAAGCAGTAGACGCAGGTGAGTGAGAGTGTGACCTGTGTAGCAGAGGGGGCAGGCACTGAATAGGACGGTGAGGAATTGGCTTGACTGAAGCAAAGGCAACAGTAAGGAATAAAGCGGTTACCCTGGGCGGGCAAGATGGAGTCACATGGCCTCAAAACCAGACAGAAGGTTCTGAAAGCCAATTGCTAGTGTTCTCCAGCGGTGATCCCCAGAAACAACCAGCACGAATATCTCAGATGCATTGTATGAGAGGCCCACAGGCAGATTCAAATACAGATGCTGATGGCTGTGGCAGCTTGGTGAGGTCCAGCTCGATTCCAAACTGCTCCGCTTACCAGCATGCTTCCAGGCTGGGGCCTGCTGACGTGTGCCTCAGGATATTCTCTGGAGTCCTGGGAAGCCTACAGCTGTTCTCCCAGGCAGCTCTTGTGTGTGGGATGTGGTTGTGAGGACATTTGTCCAGATGTGGGGGTTACTGAGATTGTGGGCTTAAGCATGATGAAATTCAGTTGGTCAGAGATGGAAGAACAAAGACAAACTCTAGCCTCTAACAATTCTTCACATCTGGATTTTAAAAGCAACTTTCTACCTTTAATTACAATTTCAAAATAATGCTTTAAATTTCCTAGTTCAAATCAACAAGCTTATGTATTAAGATGCCATCCCTTTTTGGAATTATTTCAGTATAGTTAAAAAGAAACTTTTTAACACAAAATACTTGCTGGTAAAATGGCAGCTCATGTAGTCTTCTTTTGAGGACGATGTAGAGATTTTTTAACTTTTGGAACTTTCTTGGTTTTTTTATATTTTCTCCCTTTTTTTTGCTTTTTTTTTTGGTTGACCTGTGAGGAGTCAGAAAAAAAAGGGTAATGTTTCTCTATCTTACCATATTTCCTTCCTTATATTATATTTGGACTCTGCAGACTGTGGTCTTTCTTGATCCTCAGAACCAGTTTAAAGTTGCTTCAGTCTCAGAGGGGCTCTTTTTGATTCTATTTCACTCACTTTGATGAGGAGGTAGTAGCCTTCTGACTGGTTCTCTTCTGTCCATTTTCTGGGCTCATTACTACCCCCACTGCAATCTTGCTTATGACCCACCTGTCCCAACTATAGTTTTCTGAGGTTGGTACTGTTATCATCCAATGTTTACAGATGAGGAGACTGAGGCTCAGAGCAGGTGACTTGCCCAGAGTTGCACAGCTAGTATGTGGCAGAACTGCTAGTCTGTCGGAGTCCAGAACCAAGGCCCAACTACATATTCTGTGGCCCTCTTCAAACTTAACCCTTTAGCACACCATGCAGGGTTCTTCCCCCTTTCCTGGTCTACTTTTCTATCTCGGTCCCTTCACTCCCTCCACACAAACTCCAGCCACATTACCTGAGGTTCCTGGAGCACAGTGAGCTCTCTCATGATTCTAGTTGTTTTTTTCATGCTGTCCTTACCCTCCTGGTGAAATGCTTATCCTTCAAGACCCAAATCAAATGTCACCTGATATAAAAAGTCTTCCTTAACCCTTTCTTCCTGTCCCCTCACCTCTGGCAAAGTTAATTACTCATTCTTCTATTATCTTCAAGATTCTTGTACGTATATTTATTTTATATTTTTCACATTGTACTATAATTAATTGTTAGCAAATTTGCTACAGCAGGAAAGGACTTTATCTTATTACCTTTTTTTCTTTTTTTCTTTTTATTTTGGTTGTGCCATGCGGTAGTTCTCCAACCAGGGATTGAACCCGGGCCCTGGCAGTGAAAGTGCCAAGTCCTAACCACTGGACCACCATGGAATTCCCTACCTTATATCCTTTCTATCCTCACTGTCTTCCATTCAATACACATTTATTGTATTGGATAAGAAAGACAAGCTCCCTACCCTCATGGAACACACATTCTAGTGGGAGAGATAGACAAGTGATATTGTAAGCAGGACTACCATTACACCTCCAGGTGATGACATCATTCTACGAAAAAAATAGGAGCACAATAACATGAATGGAGAACGTATCCTTAAAGGAACTACATGATTCTTTGTTTTCTAAAGTTAATTTCTAAAAGAAAGAAAATTTTGTTCCTTTTTTTCACCAACCTGTTTCTCCCACTCTTTAATCAATTCTTTCACATCTGTTGAATCTGGGTTTAGACAGGTTTGATCCCCATTCTTCATTGTAGCACTACCAAAGAAATAGCAACAAGATTTTTCTTTTTACTTTTAATAATTTAAATGCTTCATCTTATCCACAGAATTCAATTCCCCAATTAAAAATGTACTCGTGTCATCACTATAAGCATCTGAGACTTCCAGTCTTTTTCCTGCCTTTTCATTTTTTAAGTGACTGAGGGGACTTACATACATTTCTAGGATAGCACATAACTCTAAGTTAAAAAAATCCAACAGGTATATGCAATAGGATAAAGTTAAATCTAAAGAGAATATTGGTTCTGTTATGATGGAAAAAGCTATTTATGTTTAAGTGAAAATATAAAATAGACAAGTTGCCAATATATCTACTTTCTTCCCCCCAAAACAATGAAAATGAGCATGAATTTTGCTAAATTTTCTAGTGAAACAACTTAAAACATAAACAAAATGTTTTCCTAAGACAAGATTAACAGACTGGTTGAATTTTTAAAATTACATCAGACTCTCCAGGAACAATTTAAAGACTTTTTTCTTTAATTTCTGTCTAATCTAAGAATAAGAGTAGTCATTCTATACATCATCCTTGATTTAGGTTTCAAAAAACTTACAATAGGCATATCCTTTAATCTAGCAATTCTATCTCTAGAAAGGTATTACTAATAGGAAAGAATTAAAGACACAATATTGCTACAATAGCAGTTTGTTTTCAATAGCAAAAAAATTGGAAATAACCTACATTTAGGTGTTGGTCATATAGATTATGGTACGTCCACATGATAGAATAAAATTTGGCCATTAAATTGACATTATTAGGAAAAAATGATGTTATTACAGAAGATTTACTGACAGGAAATGTTCATTATATAGTGTTAATGTAAAAGCAGATTACAAAACAGTATGTAGTGTATGATTTTATTTTTGTGTACATATATTGTGTGTATAAGTATATATATATAGCGTCTATATATGTACACACAAAGCCAATGAGGGAGATTTGGAAGACTATATGCAGAGAGATTAACACTACCTATCACTAAATGGTAGGATTATAGACGATTTTTAATTTCTTCTTTTGGGTCATTTACATTAAACGTTTTCTACAATGAACATGTCATCTTTGGTTCCTAATCTCTACCAGAAATTGCTTGTTTTTTTAGAAGAAAAGGAAGAATTAGACCGGATTTATGGAGGGGCAACTATCTGCATTTTAAGTGTCTGAATGGGCAAGTATTCTGAGGGTAATACTCACACTAAACTTATTGCTGGAGCATATGTGTTGGATGAGTTTTTACTTACATGATTTCAGGTTTCTCACAAGAAGGGCTCGGGGCAAATTGTTTAAGGTCCTTTAAGGATTTTGAATGGATCATCCCTGGGCTGGTGTTGATGCAGGAACAGCGTCCATTCCTCATTGCTGGAGTTCCTAAGGGAAAAAGAGAGGTAGAAAACATCGATTTAGAGCAATGTCTCAATTTAGGCGATCCACCCAAATGATACATTTGACTTAGTCATGATTATTACTATCACTTACTGAGTGTCTGTTAATCATTACCACGAGATTTTGAGTAGGTGTTATCTCCGTTTTATAGATAAAGAATCCAAGGTTCAGAGAAGTTAAGTAAAAAACAAAGCCTTTCAGCTTTTAGCGGACAAGTGCAGGATCTCAGCACAGGTTTCTTTGGGTCCAAAGGCATTACTCTTAACTATCATATTTTACAACCTTAGGAAAAGGGATTTTTATAATATTCAATAAATGTCTATCACAGGTCAGATACACAGATACCTAATTCATGTGTGCTATGCAGACCACAGTATCTCAAGCAACTCCCAAAGCCATTTTTTATCTGACCTTAGTGAAATGGAGTTGGTACTCGTTTCAACAAAAAGCTCCACTTACAATAACTAATTACCAACACCATCCTGATCTTTCCCACTGCCTTGGTTTTCAGTAGTACTTTAAACTTTTGAAAATTCTTTAAAATACACTATCTTCATTCCTTAATTTTTTCATTTATTCAACATACATTTACTCAGTACTTCCTATATGCCATACATTGTATAGTAGGTAGAAAAAGCATAACTATAAAATTTCCATTTTACAGCTGAGGAAACTGAAGTCTAGAAAAGTTCATTAATTTGCCCCAAATAACAAAGGAAGTTAGTAAACAGATTAGGGACACCTCTCTGATCATTGGATACTTAATTGGTTAACCACAGACATACTTATCAAGAAACACTGTCAGGGTGACAAAAATAATTTAGGAGACAAAGTCTTCCATCTCATTATCACCCAGTTCAACAAACATTTATTGAACACTTACTCTGTGCCAGGAATTCACACACGTGGACTGAGAAGACTTGTATTTGACTTGGCAGGTCCAAGATATGAACTTTGAATAACTGACCACAACTGACTCACATCACTTTCTGATGCACACAAAGCAGTTACCTTTACTGGCAAATCAAGAGACTTTTCTAGCAGTTCACATCTCTGACTTTACTAACCCAATATAACTCAGAATCCCTTACCTTGAACTCCAGTCAGAGTCAGGAAGATGATACCCAAAAGGAGAGGAACACCACTTTTCTTCATAGTGGTAGAATGGAGTTGCTCCTGTATTTGTTCTACTGAGTCACTCCTGTATTAGATTTTAAGCTTGAGAAATTCTTTAGAGAACATGCTCTTGGAAATAATATTTATTTAGGAAATCCGTTTCCCTTCTAAAATCTGATTGGCTGGTTGTCTTAGCTGAGTCAGCTAAACTGACCACAAACTTAATTGTGCTGGGGGAAACCCTACTCTCTGATCCAAGGGAATTTCTGCATGCTTTATATCTTTCCATTTCACATAAATGGGTAGTTTATCATAAGAGATGTGAAACCGTCATCACTGGCAGCCTTTAGCACATTCACAGCTGCTCACCTGGATAAAGAATAAGTTATATAATGAATATAATAACATCATACAAGAAGGGCTGGAGATGTGGTTTCCAGATGGGAAATATTAAAGTCCAGATAAGTAAAACACTCTTCAACTTTTCTTACTCTTTGTAGAATACCTTTATGTATAATATATGGCCACATTTATTTTTTCTTATGTTGCTTACCCAACAATCTTAAACAATCAAAATACATTAAAAAGCATCTTAATTAATTCAGGGACTAGGTCATTTTCTACTGTGGTAGGCCCTTTCTGTTTTTGATGTCATTGCTGCTACAGATTATTATTTTTTTAAATAGATAGAATAATGGATCAGTTGAAAATAGACAATGGGTACTACATCAAACTTTAAAACTTCTGTGTATCAGAGAAAACAATCAACAGAGTGAAAAAGCAACCTATGGAATGGGAGCAAATAATTGCAAAACATACATCTGATAAGGAGTTAATATTATATGGAACTTGTACAACAACAAAATCCAAATAACCTGATTAAAAAATGGGCAGACTCGAATACACATTCCTCTAAAGAAGATATACAAATGGGCAATACGCACATGAAAAAAGTTCAACGTGACTAATTGTTAGGGAAATGCAAATCAAAACCACAATGAGTTATTGCCGCGGACCAGCCGGACCGAGAAGACCAAACCGATCAGAGCCTGAAGGGAAGGGGTAAGGACCTGAAATAGCATCGACAAATGGGGTCAGAAGGACCAAGACCACTGCTGGTTGCAAGGCAAATTTTATTGTGCTACAGTTGCAGATTATATAGACTAGAAAAGGGAAGGTTGCCAGACGGTGGTTTACATTATCGGAAGACTCTGGGTTCAAGGTTAACTTCCCTGGGAGAAAACCCATAAACCCAGAATCATCAAAAATAACCTGCAAGTGCAGGGGGGAGACAGCTTTGCTTGTCTCATTTTACATTCTTTCTCATCTCTGGGCCCTGGTAATTTATCTCCCATGGAATGGAACAAGGAGGGGAACAGGTAGGAACAGTCCCTTTGAGCAGCGGCAGCATGCCTGGCACGTTCGCAGCCTGCTCTCATGGCTGACTGCTTCCCACAAGTTATCACCTCATACACACCAGGATGCCACTATCAAAAAACAGAAGATAGGGGCTTCCCTGGTGGCGCAGTGGTTGAGAGTCCGCCTGCCGATGCAGGGGACATGGGTTTGTGCCCCGGTCTGGGAGGATCCCACATGCCGCGGAGCAGCTGGGCCCGTGAACCATGGCCGCTGAGCCTGCGCGTCCAGAGCCTGTGCTCTGTAATGGGAGAGGCCACAACAATGAGAGGCCCACGTACTGCAAAAAAAAAAACCCCAGAAAATAACAAGTGTTGGCGAGGATGTGGAAAAGTTGGAACCCTTGTGCACTGTTGGTGGGAATGTAAAATGATGCAGCCATTATGGAAAACAATATAGAGGTTCCTTAAAAAATTAGAGGTTTCTCAAAAATGAAAAATAGAATTACCATATGATCCAACAATCCCACTTCTGGGAATATGTTCAAAAGAATTCAAAGCAGGATCTCAAAGAGATATTTGCACACCCATGTTCATGGCAGCATTATTCACAATAGCTAAGAAATGAAGCAACCCAAATGTCCATATACATGCAATGTAATATTATGCAGCCTTAAAAAAGAAGGAAATCTTGTCACATGCTTCAACATGGATGAACCTTGAGAATATTATGCTCAGCGAAATAAACCAGTCACAAAAGAACAAATAGTCATAGGAAGTATCTAAAGTCAAATCTTAGAAACAGAAAGTAGAAAGGTGGGTGTCAAGGGCTGGGGGGAAGGGTGAGATGAAATTAATCTTTAGTGGGTTTAGAGTTTCAGTGTTGCAAGATGAAAAAGTTCTAGAGATGTGTTGTACAATAATGTGAATATACTTAACAGTACTGAACTGCATATTTAGAAATGGTTCAGAGGGTAAATTTGATGCTACATGTTTTTTACCACAATAAAATAAAATAAGAGTAAGGGATCAGTTGCATGTAATGAAAATCCAAATTAATAGTGGCTAACTAGATAAAAGTGTGTTTCCCCGAACAGAGGCAGGTGACTAGGGCTTATACGGTGGTTCTGAGATCTCCATGAGGTCTCCCGGGCTCCTTCTATCTTGTTGCTTTATCACCATCTCTACATTGCTGCCCTCATGCATGTGGCCAACGGGGGCTTGCCACCATGTCCACTTTCAAAGTACAGCTTGGTGGGAAGGCAGAAAAAGGGCATGCCTCTCATTTCTTCACTTATCACTTGTCCATACCCTGGACAAGAATTTATTCACATGGCCACAGCTAGCTGCAGGGAAAGTTAAGAAATGTGATCTTTATTCTGGTTGATCCACTAAAATTTGGGGGTTCCAATACTGTAGAACAGTGTTTCTCAACCTTTTTTTTCATAATTGCTTCTCCTGAGATAAATTAGATCAAATTTAAATTAACATAAATCTAAATTTAATTTAATTTCTTCCTAAAGAGAAAAATTAATTAAGAAATAAAATTTTGTTGGGTAGGGTTGAACTTTGGTGGACCATAAGTCATCGTAATATCTAAGATTTTTTAGCCCCCGAAAGGAACCAATTTTCTGTCCCCTTGAGGGCAATCCTTCCTCCCCTGCATTGAGAATGCACGCTGAGTAGGAGGGGAACAGATACTAGCATTTTCTGTTACACAATGCACATTTTTGGACTGGTTTCTAGATGGATTATTATGCTTAAATACAATATTAAGAATTCTTTTTGAAGAAAACTTGTGATCTTTGACACAGCTTATTCATTTGGTTATGTTTAATTTTTGGTAATGACTGTGACCATGGGTAGGGTGGAGCGGGTTCAGGTCCCAGCCTTACTACTTAACATCTGTGTGCCAAATACTTAACTTCTATCAGCCTCAGTTCCCTCAGCTGAGAAAACTATTACTAACCTCACAGGTTGGTGAAATTAATGGCAACAAGGAATTTCAACTTCAAAACACCATAGAGCTAGTGACCAGTTTTTCTAGCAAAGAGAGTTAGATGGAACCTTCTTAGGATAAAGAACAAGGCCTAGGGCTTCCCTGGTGGCGCAGTGGTTGAGATTCCGCCTGCCGATGCAGGGGACATAGGTTCGTGCCCTGGTCCGGGAAGATCCCACATGCCGCGGAGCGGCTGGGCCCCGTGAGCCATGGCCGCTGAGCCTGCGCGTCCGGAACCTGTGTTCCACAATGGGAGAGGCCACAACAGTAAGAAGCCCGCGTACCGCAAAAAGAAAAAAATAAATAAAAAGAACAAGGCCTAGAATGGTCTGCCCTTGCCCACCTTTCAAGTCTCTTCTTGCATAACTCTCTGCTCCACCAACTCTGCTTTTCCTCCTTCAGTTCCTCAGAGGGGCAATGCTTCTTCCTATCACACTCTTTTTGCTCATGCTATTCCCTGCCTGGAATGCTGTGCCTTATCTGCCTCCCTATCCTACTGCTTAGTAATTTACCCACCTTAGATTTCCAGGTTAGCATTGCCCCTGGGGAGACTTTCCTGATCCCCAGACTTGGTCAGGTCCCCCACCATGTGATTTCATGGCACTATGCGCCTCTCCCTATTCAAAGGACATGCAAGGCAATGTTACGTTATCTGCTATCTTACGGTGAACATCTCCTTCCACCACTAGAACAGGGAAGGCTTGTGAGGGTCCATGCCGGCGCGCAGTGCCGAGCGCAGTGCCTGGCACTCAGTAGGCGCACAGTTAACACGGGCGCATCAGTAGGCCTACAGTTAATTCGTGCGCGTCAGTAGGCCTACAGTTAACACGTGTTCAGTAGGCCTACAGTTAACACGTGCGCATCAGTAGGCCTACAGTTAACACGTGTGAATCAGTAGGCCTACAGTTAACACGTGCGCAGGGAACCAGTGAGGGAACCGAGGCTCCCGGCCTGGCTCCGCACTGCGCGCTTCTGGGCTCAGCAGGTGTAAGCACACGGCGCATGCCCAGCCAGTCAGTTTGCAGAACCTTCGGTGGGGAAGCTCCCGTCGCAGCCGGAGCATCTTGCTCTGCTGGTGGCCCTGATGGTGTTTCCGCAACCTGCGCCGCTCCCACCGTGAAGCACGTCGAGAAGAAAGGTAGTGGCTGTGCGCCTCGGGATCTCTCCCCTCTGCCTCCTGCATGTCCCCTCCACCCTCACCTCCCAGCCCGAGGGGGTGGCGCTTCCCCGAAGGACGCCGGGAGCGGGGTCCGGTTTGCAGCTTCTACGCGAGGCTTGGGCTGAGGCCGGTGGGACTGTTGGCCTCGGAGGGGCCCGGTCATTGGGGTGGAGGCCGCCGGGCCAGGTCTAGGAGGGTCGTTCGGCCTTGGGTCGCGGTGACTGGGACGGAAGTCTACCGAAAGAGAGGAAGAGGTGCTGGGGTCATTTAGGAGTCACTCGAGGGCCAGTCTTATTTTTTTTATCCGGAGGTGGCGAATTTCCTCCGGTTGCCAGTAGGACAGAGGCCCGCCGAGTGGTCGGGCTGCGCCTCATGCGGCGGCGCGGAGCAGGTTTGGCCCTTGGGCCTAAAGGCTGGGGCCGACGCCCTCAGATGAGGCGCATTCCTCGGTTGTTTCCCAGGCCTCCTATGGGAAATTGTCCAGACAGGGCTGAGAGAAAACACGTTTACGAACGAAGGGGCGTTTATGACTAGATGGGGCATTTAGGGGAAACAGAAACCT